CCAAGTGGATCATGTGCTTCACGTGACCACGTGGAGGAGAATCATACTTGTTTGCACGATGACGACATCGCGTGTCTTGTTTTTTTTTTTGATAGCGCGCAGGCAGCAATTCTGTAAGGGTGCCGTTCTCTCCTTGCATTCATTCCATTACATTTTTTACACTCCACATTGAATGTATTGAATGCGCAAAAATATGAACCTCATTGAGAAATTTCAGTAATAGCCAAGCCATGGAGGTCATCTAGTCTAAAAATATAGCAGTAGAATCTTGTCTGAACTGACATAAAAACTATACTGTCTTGTTTATGACGCCAATTATGAGTGATGGTGCCGGATCGCGAACCGATGTCTTAATTGAGAAGCAAATGCAGTAAGTCTAACTATAATTTAAATCGTAAATTAACATGGACAACAATAAACCAATGCCCTCCTGACCCCTTGTTTTTAGGGGCGGACAACTAGAGACGTTGACCATGCAGGAGACGACGATTAGGGATTAAGATCGTCGACTTAGACGACGATAAGTAGAATCTTGTCTGAATTGACATAAAAATTATACTGTCCGTCGTGAGGAAAACTTAAATTTCGACATTCGTAGAGTTTTGAGTTCACTTTCACCATAAAATTAATATAGATATTGTGACAATAGAAAACGAACTGTGAACACAATTGAAATCCCGGTGAGGTTAAGAAACCCTTGCTGAGCAAAAGTGCATTTGCTCATTATGAGGACCATATGGTTTATAGTTATTTAAGTGTGATTCATTAGACAGAAAGCGACTTTTTCGCGTTTCGCGCTGCGAAACATTGTTCGTTGCGGGAATCTCTGGTCCGTTGGAGTGTTCGCTGCGGGAATCTCGGGTCCACGCAAGCGGAGAATGTTCGTCGTTGCGAAAACGCACGAAAAATCGTCTTTCGCTCTATGAACCACACGCCTAGCAATTTTGGTGTGCTGTCTATAGAACAAAAAACAAGAGCTTGAAAGAGAAATGTCCAGTGCGGCCTGCAAGGCCTGCACAGGCGTTGTTTTTCTGTCGTCAGTGTGACAGAATTTTCTTTACATATACGTTTCAAAATTGACTAAATGTTCAAGCTCTATGAATGTAATATAAATATTATCGTTGGATTAAAGTTGCCAAGTAAAAAAGAGCTTACAGCTCTCTACAAGTTCATTCACCGTGACCTTCACTCAAGATTACGCATGGGAGGAAGACGAGTCGAGGAAGCATGCTGGACCGCACGTTGAGGAAGGACGGGTCACCCCAATCATATCTGCTAATTTCGTTCCAATGCAAACTGACCTTTGCTTGTTTGCATTTCTGTGGCGTCAAATCTTTGAGGACCTGTTGTTTCCTCGGGGAAACCTCATCTCGCTTAGCATCAGACGCTGCAATTGCGCCATTCTCATCAGCAGCAGTTCCCTAAAATACCGATACTAGCCAAAAAGACGTCTCACAATTAGATCTTATTGCTTTTCGTTCCTACAACACTTTTGAATTAGACACAAAACTGCAGCATTCTGACTGATGTAAGAGAGGGCTAACCAGGACATGAGAAGTTGAAGCCTCGTTGAATGCTTGTGTGACCTGAATAAATTCCTGATAGATTAAGCGACTAGTGAGTGACCAAATAATTCCGTATTCGAATCAAATCATGGAAGATAGCCGTTGTGAAAGGACAAACGGAAACGACGCCACTACGGTACTATTCAACTTTTAGCGAGGTTTCTAAGCCAGTGAGCGCTGCACGCGTTCCGCTCATAGGTTTGTATATCCTGCGGCGATGTGCAACGGTGCGGCAAAATTCCTGCGGCGATATGCAACGGTGCGGCAAAATTCTCAAATTAAGCCCGACACACCACGAATACTTTACTAGCCCTTCTGAGCAAAATTTCATCCGCTTCCTTCTTTGCATTCATGCTATCTCTGGACCATATTGCGACTTTGGATTTTCAATCCGCCCACCACGTTGCACGCTCCATCCACCGATAGTTTTGACCTTCGCTCCTTCGTCAAACATTGCTGGATTTTTTCCGATCTATGGACTGTCTCTTGCCGACTTATGAATCTCTTGGCAAACTCCGATTACTTGGGTGCTTGTCCCGCCCACCAATAGCATTTGACTTTTTCGTTCTCGCCAACTTATGCACTTTTTCTCTGATCTCTGGACCTCTCTGAACCGAGCTATGATTTCGTGGCAAAATCCACCTTTGTGCATACCAAGGCCAATAACAGCGCTTGACTTATTTTACTTCAATTATCTCTAACCACTTTTTTGCTCTCCGGGACTTCTTAGAACCGAGTTATGATTTTGGAATCAACTCGGCCCAGTTTGGTGCACGCCACGCCCACTACGACGCAGAGCCTCTCCGACCCCTATCCACCTTCTCTCGTCCTATCAGACATCTCGGGACCGACTAATGTGGACTTGTAGAAATGCTGTCCGCTTCACGACACGCTCCGCCCATTGTGGGCGGGCCTCCGTTCACATCATGTATGCTGGAAATACCTTAGACATTGCTCCCCTGCACTAATTTTTTCTGCTCTGTAGGCTTTCTCCCAACCGAGTTATGAAATTTTTCATAAAGCACCGCTTTTTCAGAGAACGCCCGCCCACCGGGGGTGGGTCTCCCTATTCGATGTATGGTTTATCGATGTACACCTCTGTCCATTTTTCCCAGGTCTCTAGGCCGTTTTGGAATCGAACTTCAAATTTTCGTCTTCAGTACAGCATCACGTCCACTAGGCGGGGCTCTGCTTAGCTTATGTATGTTTTGTACTTCTCGGGACATCACCCACCCATCCCACACTTGACCCGGTCTCTCCAGGCAGATCTCTAAAAGCTAGGGAAATTTCGTGACAGACACCGTGACAGAACCACACACAGGGCGATAGAACGAGAAGAAGCGCTTCATAGTAAGTAGAGAGGATAAAGATGGGCTTTCGTTGAGGATTCTTTTCGAGTCTTGTCCCGGTTCAACTTTTTCTGTGGGAAATTGTGATTTCAATCTAGCTTCAACTTTAGAAATGTGAGACGCTAAAGGGCGAATTCTGGGCTCAGTTGCGTAGTTTTACATTTCACTGGCCATATCAAAGCTTGAGTGTATGGGCATTAGTTTTATGACAGTTTTGGTAAATAACACTACTTTGATGTGTACTCATCCCTTGCCCGTCAACAAATTCAAAATAATTAGACTTTCAAAGGGTAAAAAGAGCAAGAAAACGGGGAGTAGCTGACAAGCAAGTTGAAAAATTCCAATTCATATCAGACCCACATTCTTACTTCGTTAATCTCACACAAGGTCGAAGGCCATCAATGAACGTGAAAAATGTGCGCGAGAAACAGTTTATGCCCTAGTTCTCCAATCCTATCTACAGACGGCTGCCGTATCAAAATGTACCCACATGCATTTTGAAGATGAATACTTGTAAGCCTCCTCCAGTTCCTTACATATGAACACTGTTTCTCTCGCTAGTAAAAAAAACTACTTATAATGAGAGATTGGCCCGAAATAGTGTCGAAGAGGATTTCAAGGACAAATCACATGTCCGACTGGGGCTATTTTTGTTTTTATTATGTGATTTCTTTAGACAGGTGGGTGGTTTTCTCACATGTGTTCATGCATTTTTAATTTATTTCTTGTCATTCTGAACCAAGTCTTATAACTGTGATGGTTAGAATAAATCATTACTGAGGAGCCAACCTGGTGCAGCGCCAACAGTCTCGGAGGGAAGCAAGCGATTCCTTTAGGCTGGTGTCAGAGTCCGCGATTCGATTTCGCGATTTTCGCGATTTGCGCGATTTTCGCGATTTGCGCGATTTTCGCGATTTTCGCGATTTGCGCGATTTTCGCGATTTTCGCGATTTTCGCGATTTTCGCGATTTTCGCGATTTGCGCGATTTTCGCGAAACCTGCGATGGATCACAGGAGTTGGAAGTGCCCGATGAATACTGCGAGGTGTTGTTTAATCCTGCTGCGAATTCTGCTTGGCAGTAAAGATTGGAAGACGAATGTTTGTGGTTCTACTTGTTTCATGTTCAATGTCTATTAGTTCATTGAAATGCTCTTGAATCGTTCCTTTTTTTCAGGAATCAAACCAAACCAATCACAAAAATTGCAAGTGCCCCATTTGAACAATTGAAACACTGGATATGAAACAAGTGGAATCATGAGCAGTCTCCATTAAACCATAACCATCAAGCAGAAGTGACGGCGGGATTGGAGAACACCTTGCAGTATGGATGGGGCACTTGTGATTTCCGTGACCCGTCGCGCAAATCGCGAAAATCGCGCAAATCGCCGAAAATCGCGAAAATCGCGAAATCGCGCAAATCGCGAAAATCGCGCAAATCGCGAAAATCGCGCAAATCGCGAAAATCGCGCAAATCGCGAAAATCGCGAAAATCGCGAAAATCGCGCCAATCGCGAAAATCGCGAAATCGCGAAATCGCGGACTCTGAAGCAGCCCTCAGTTCCATTCCGGTTTTTCCGTAACGTCGGATTTTATGAGATGATTCAACATTTTCAAGTAAGAGAGGTGTCTGAAGAAAATAGGTTACAACTGCCGGATGATACTAGATGTGCTACACATTAACCCCTTAAAGACTTAACCTAACCTTTTATAAAACCCATATAAAAGTCGCCATGAGTCTGAGAAGAGGGGAGAAATATCGGTACGTCATATAAAAGGCTAGGTTAAGTTTAGATAGTTACTCTTGGGAAGGAACTCAGAGAATGCAACAAATCATAGTGAAAATCTCACTCTATCTGAGTCTGATCGAACGAAAAGTAGAGTCGTCACAGCTCAAAGACCTTCCTGAGATTCCTTCCTCACTGATTGCCAAAATGCGAGCATCCTCAGCGCTGCTACTCTGCGGCGCCTAGACAGCAATATAGTAATTTGCCTGTTAAGAAAGGTGTGAGTGAGAAGGGAACCTACAGAAAAATGTAATTCGTTCCTTCTCCGGTGAGTTTGGAACTTCAGAAACAACAAAGTCATCTATAACCTTACCGTCGCAGAGGATCGCGGGCGTGCAGGCGCCCTGAAAACGAAAACCTTGTGATTTCCACTGAAAGACTACCAAGGATAGGAATTGAGCTGCTGATATACAGTTTGTGACTTACAAACGAATCGTCGGTGCACTTATTGGTGTAACGTTTTCAAAACGCTCAGCAATGTCGACGTTATCTTCTTGGACAGCTTTCGAGGCCTCAAGCAAAATGCATACAATTCAAATGGAATGAGAAAAGCCGGGAAACTTACACTCAAGGAGGAAGCACCACTGAAACTAATCTTTCTGGGTCTGCCCCTACAGCGTTTGCCCCTTCTTCGAATTCCTGAACCTCTTCTTACCTGAAACATGAATCATTAATCATCATAAGACAAGCAAAATGTAGAAAACCTACAAAACCAGAATAAAAGAAACCTACACTTCCAGGAGATTTCGGAGATAAATCCGGTTGGCACCGCTTTGCATTATCCTTTTGCTCACTGGATCCACGACGACTACACTGAATTCTGGCGTGCTTCTCTTTTGCTCTTTTCCAAAACATCAGCAAGAGTTTGATCATCAGAATCATCATCCTGCCAAAAAAGATGGAGGTATAAACATTCCTTTGCATATTTATTTGTATACTGCAAATAAAAAATGAGCAGCACAGCGGCAGAAGTTTCTTAATGGGCGCTGTTTGCTAGTGACGGTCGTCAGAATCGTCATGCTAAATCTAAGATTTATGAACAAAACACAAGGAAGCATAGATTTCAGTGAAACATCAGTAGCAGTTAGAATGAAAGAAATGACTGAAAGGAGTAGACATATGTATACCGAAATCGCCTCCTTCTTGATCACCAGGAGACTGAGATCATCAGCAGAATCGTGATCCTAAAAGAGGGCCATAATAGAGATTGGAATGTTGTATAAGACATCAAAAGTTAGGTGCTGGCGCTGCAGTGGTTAACGGCGTTACATCGCAGAGGCACGATCTCTACTGAGATTAGGTACATTTGTCGTATATTGAATCTTTTCAGACAAATATCCTGATTTCTCAGTAGTATTGAACGATCTGGATTGAAAAGCCTATCTACCAAACAGTAATCTGGCCTTTCCAACTGAATATCCAAATCTCTTAAGGCCGCGTTCACAGTTCACTGCTCCGGAGATAAGGGTAATAGGCGACAATGAAAAAGATCTCTACATATTGATAAGGCACTAGGAGTCACTAGTTTAGGATATGAGGAGATCAATCAACGCATATCTAATCTTCTCAGCTGAATATCCTGATATGCCAATATCTTAATTGTCATATCATTCAATCCCCTAATCTCCCGATCGCAGAGTATAAATGCGGCCGTACTAGGCGGGAAGGGGGTCGCATATGGAATTGCCCCAGACCCTAATCGCTTGACTTGTGTCTTTCGCACTGTCTTTTCCTCGCTTTTCTTCTCCTTCCATATTTACAAGCAGTATGTTCCGCACCTGCGGTGTAGGGCGGAAGTGTGTACCACCAAAGTACTGGGAATCGAATCCTGGGATGTGCGTCGTTCTGGCAAACCAACCTTTCCATCCTTCCGAGATCGGCTAATTGGACCAGACATGTCTGTGAGGATAAAAACACTAACTTGTATACTCGGCTGGCCCCTGCTTGTCATTACATGGGTCAAATCGCATTCAGTTGCCACTGCGAATGTACTGATGGAAAAGAATGCGTGCTGCATCCAGCAAGGCACTGTTCAACGGCATGCCTTTACAGTACTACCTGCGACAAAATAGTTCCACATAAAGGCCCATGGGCGGTATTCAATCCTTCCCCCAGGGGGATATATCCCCCTACTCTGATTCAATCCTCTGGGGGGACAAAAAAGGGTTGCGTCATAGGACCTCGCATACCTCTGTGTTTCTACCTGCCAGACAGTTAGAGCAGCGCGACCCCTCAGGGGAAAGAGTGCTTCATCAGTGGAGGGTAGTAGCGCTGCTCTAACTGTCTGGCAGGTAGAAACACAGAGGTATGCTAGGTCCTATGACGCAACCCTTTTTTGTCCCCCCAGAGGATTGAGAGGATTGAATCAGAGGAGGGGGATATATCCCCCTGGGGGAAGGATTGAATACCGCCCCTACTCGTCCCGTATTTTAGCAGCGATGGACTTTGAAGGAGAGGAACTCAGCAGTAGTGCCGGACGCGAGCGCATGCTGCGGCAGGGCAATGAAGTGGCGAGCCAGCGCTGACACCTTGCTCGAACAGTAATGAGGCTGCTAGCATTTTGCTAACAAGCTGTAAGCTATACAATCAAGAGTGTGGGAAGTGGAATGATTGTTTTTTTTTTTTTGAATGTTCCAATTGTAGCACACCGAAATGGAATGAAGAGAATCAATACCTCCATTTCCTATGAAACCGATCTCTACTCCGATTCTTACGCCACTACTTACTACATAGTGAAGTTTAAAGTGCAACATAAATGTAGGCAGTTGCTAATTGTATTAACAGATGATTCTTACGCCACTACTTACTACATAGTGAAGTTAAAGTACAATAAATGCGAGCAGTTGCTAATGTATTGAAAGATTGGCGGCAACGGCGGCATCTGCTCGTTCCCTCGCCGCGCCGGTGAGCTTTTCTAAGAATCGACGGACTTGACGCAGCGGTAGCCGCCTTTGATAAAAGTCGCGCGGATAACCCGTGTCCAACATTTTCCGCTAGAAATCACCAAAGCATGCTGGAAACATCTTATCCATTAACTGTTATACTATCGAGTGCGGTAGACACGCCTATACTGATGGCGAGTGAACTGTAGTGCATTTATGAATCGTTTGGTTAGCACATGCGCACTCACAATAAAATACGACACATGCGTGGCGTAGGTCTAAATCGATGCTGACGTGGATGAGTTGTTTAACAAGTTCACAACTGTCTGAGAGACCAAAAACTGATGCATTCACTGGACTTGGCCGGAAATCAGAGTCCATTTTCAGAGTCATTATACATTCACGGCTGACCCTTGGACTCCTAGTAGAAATCATGTGTTCCACAAAGACATGTGCCCCACCAAGAGTGAAATAAGTGTTCAACGGTTTCAAGGTGAAGCCGAATGCGCGGTATCGCGAATATAACGAGTGAAGTAGCATTCTGCCCCTGCTTTTCAACCACGGCCACAAGTAACGGACAACATACCGAAGGCAACTCTTTTTTGATTTCTCGTTTTACCAGACGTGGCACTTTCGACACCTGACTGGCATTTGATGGTGGAGTAGCATCCATCATATTTCTTGTTCGACTTCTAGTCATTCTACCTTGTTCGGTCTCCATGGCTTTGTAGAGAAACTAAAATGGAGCCAAATCAGTATGAAAATCCGAAACAGGCAACATTAGTGTATGAAAAACTAATAACAAATTGCTAACAGCTTTCTAATGGATTTTCTTCCGAAGAGAGTAAGCACTACACTGAATCAACAAATTAGCACTAACTACAACCGAATCAGTCCACAGGGGGTGGAAGGCAATATTCGAAACAGTTTGACTCATGACGGAAAAATGAGGAAAGATGCTCCTGTAGCAATCTTCGCTATTTCAGTGAGTAAACAAAAGAGATGTGAAGGCGAGAGCATCTCGAGTGAGCGCCGTTTTCTGTAACCACTATGTTATGGGAAATACATAGCATGCAACGACAACAACCTTGATCCACCCGTTCCTTATACCCACACTGCCCCCACTCTTCTTCAGATCGGCATTAACTAACAGAAGGATAGATCAAGGGGAGCGACTCCGTTTATCCAGTTCCCTCCGATACCAATTCCTCACTCATTCATTGCCAGTTGAAACTGCGTCTCGATAAAAGACGCGCTGGGATGCAGTGCATGCAAGAAAGAAACATCGGAGAAATCCGAAACCTTGAGGTTTTCCAGACGCCCAACCGTACTTTCTATATGGAAAAGCATGTAACGATTCTTTTTCTACTGCACCCTTATCAAACGTCAAGTTGCTTGACACTTGGCAGCTTAGTGAGGTAAATGCAGAAACCTGGGAACTAATAATTAAATTAATGGACTGCCAGAGGAAGGTGCCCGTGCAAGATGCATGTATCAAGATAAATTGATAAAACATTCTATCAGTAAATCCTTGATTCCCGTGTGAACACGATCAGACAAGATGAAGGAGG